TGATTGCATTAACGTACACAGCTATCACTTAATAAAATAAAATCTTTTTTCAATGTAGTTACCCAAATTGGACATAAAGGTCATTTAAAAAATTACTCTTCTGGCTGGGGATTGTGGCTTATGCCTGTAATCCTAGCACTCTGGGAGGCTGAGGTAGAAGGATTGCTGAAGCTCAGGAGTTCCAGACCAGCCTGAACAAGAGTGAGACTCCATCACTACAAAAATATAAAGCTTATTGGGGCTTGGAAATGCATACCTGTAGTCCCAACTACTCGGGAGGCAGAAGCAGGAGGATTATTTGAGCCCAGGAGTTTAAAGTTGCAGTGAATTATGATGACACCACTGCACTCTAGCCAAGGTGACAAGAGCAGGACTCAACAAACAAAAAGAAAAAAAAAGGAAGGAAGGAACAGAGGAAGGGAGGGAGGAAAGAAAGAAAATTACTCTTATGGTTGGTTAGTGGGGACAAATATAGAGTTAGTGGGGACAAATAAGCAGTTTAGATAGAGTAAATATTTGATAGCAGATTAGAGTGATTATAGTTAGCAACAATGTGCTATATATTTCAAAGTAGCTAGAAGAGAAGATTTGAAATGTTAGCAACACATAGAAATGATAAATACTCAAGTATCAATTCAGAGTAGTTGGTAGATGGATACCCCAACCCTGAACTGATCGTTTTACATTTTATGCATGTAACAAATACTCACATATGTCCCATAAATATGTAAAATAATTTGAACAAGTAAGAAAAGTAGTCCAATGCTTGTACCTCTATTTGGAAAATTTAAACGATCTTGCATTATAGAGGTGACTAAAGTAACATAAGTTAATGGAGTGATGTGATTTTCTGAAATCCTGTAAAAAATGTGGAAATTCATTGTGACAATTACAAATTTGTGAAAATCACCTGAAAATTTGTGGGGAAAACCTATAAATATCTGAGAAAAACAAAAAGAAATTATACTCCTGAGTAATATAGGAAGAATATTCCCTATAGTTAATATATTCACTTTTTTCAGTTCTTTTGATATTATATATTGAATAGACAGAAAGAATAGCTTGAAGATGTCAATATTCTCCATTCCATCCCCTTTCCTCTCCTTAAACTCAATCTTGAATCTTATATTTTTTGTTTCCTTACTTTTCTTTATAGGTTTACCTTGAAAACCCTAATGATGTAGTTTTGCATGATCTTTAACTTTATGTAAATCAAATAATACTATGTTTATTCTTCTGCAATTTGTTTTTTTCCTAAATATAGTACTCCTCAGATTTATCAGTATTGATGAGTGTAATTGTAGTTCATCTATTTTCACTGCTATAGAGCTTTCTATTATATGAACGTGTCCTCCTAGGTTGTTTGACTGGTTTCCAGTTTGCTGTTACATGCAGCACTACTTCACAGTTTCTTTAGGATATGTACCCCAAAATGAACTTGATGGGTTATAAAGTAAATACTTCATCACCTTGATAGATATGGCTAAATTGTTTTCCAAAGTGGTTATCTGATTTTTAATTTATGTGTTCCAGGGTTTTATTTTTTCTCTACCACAATATTATCAGACTTTAAATTTGTTAACCAGTATGGCGGGTATATATAGTAACATTTTTAAACATTGCTATTTATTTGACTACTTTGTGCCAAACACTGTTGCAGGCAATTTCATGAATCACATATTATTTATTTTAATTCTCTCACAACTATTCTATCTCAGCCCCCTAAGTGAGACCAATGTTGTACCTAATCTACTTTTTCTTTCTAGGGAATATGGTCTTGCTCTGTTGACTGAGCTACAGAGCAGTGACATCATTAGCTCATAGCAATCTCAAACTCCTGGGCCCAAGCAACACTCCTGCCTTAGCCTTCTGAGTAGCTGGGAATACAGGTGTGTACCACCACACCTGGCTAAGTTTTTTACTTTTGTAGAGATGGGGTCTTACTTTTGCTTAGGCTTGTCTTGAACTCTGAGCCTCATGTGTTCCTCCCACCTTAGCCTCACAAAGTGTTAAGAATACAGGCTTAGCACTGTATTTTTTTTTTTTTTTGAAATTTTTGGCTGGGGCTGGGTTTGAACCTGCCGCCTCCAGTATATGGGGCCAGCACTCTGCTCCTTTGATCCACAGACACTGCCCTACACTGTTTTCATTTTTAGTACATAATTAACACTAAACCTCTCTCCAACAAGTTTATTTCTTAATGTGTCTTTCTCCATCCTGTATCTATCTAATTTATTTACTTCAAAAAAATCATTCTCATTTTAGAAGAAATTTGAAGTGGGAAGTGGTTAATAAATCACCCGAAGTCCCACTATCCCTAATGAGTAGCAAACTTTAAAATAAAAACTGATTTTCTAGCTCCTAATTCATGTTTTTATTCATCCCTTCCCTTTTTCTTCCCACTCTGTTTCTCCCTCCTTTCCTTCACATTCTTCCACACCTTCTCTGAGTTTAACAGATTAAATATACTTTCCAGTTGGCTGCCATGTAATATGATGTATGTGTAGAGTGCCCCACAAGATTGGGTGAGCACCTGGTTCCATGCCTTATAACCATTTCACATTTCAGTCTGTGCATAAAGCTGCTGGTGGCCCCTCAAATGTTGGAGAGCATTCAGAACTTTGGGCTATCCCATCTTTGACTCTCCTTTTTCAACAGTAGTAGGAACCCCAAACATATTGTGGGGATATATGCAACTGGGAGAGGTCTGGATGCCTAGAGAATGGGAGTATTGGAACTGCTAACACTGGTTAGGAGAACATAGAGTCTGTTGATAAAAGAAACAAAACTGAGGTGCACAATAGAGAATTTTGTTTGGCCTACATGGCATTTAATATTATTTTCCTCCTCCTCCTGCTCCTCCTCCTCCTGTTGCTGTTTCTCCTCCTCCTGCTGCTGCTGCTTCTCCTCGTCTTCTTGTCCCTCCTCCTCCTGCTCCTCCTCCTCGTCCCCTCCTCTTCCTGTTCCTCCTGCCCCTCCTCCTCCTGCTTCTCCTCCTGCCTCTCCTCCTCTTCCTCCTGTCCCTCCTCCTGCCCCTCTTCCTCCTGCTCCTCCTCCTCCTGTCCCTCCTCCTCCTGTCCCTCCTCCTCCTGCTCCTCCTGCCCCTCCTCTTCCTGTTCCTCCTGACCCTCCTCCTCCTGCCTCTCCTCCTCTTCCTCCTGCTCCTCCTCCTCCTGTCCCTCCTCCTCCTGCCCCTCCTCTTCCTGTTCCTCCTGACCCTCCTCCTCCTGCTGCTGCTCCTCCTGCTGCTGCTCCTCCTCCTCCATTTTTTAAAAATTTGGATAATTTTATAGAAAGCATTTACTTACCAGTTTGTTACAATAGTCAGCACATCATTTCCCTAGTTTTACATCTACTATTGACTCCTGGGTCCTAAAGTTATTTAATGGCATAAATAGATTACTGAAATATGATTTTTATCCATGGTGAGGTCACTTGAGACTCACTGAAGGTGGAACTGGAAGATGTATTCTCATTCCAAAGTGATCACAGTTTGCCCAGATTTTTTCTTTTTTTTTGGCAGTTGTTTATTTTATGACTGGGAATACACTTTTATTTAGACTTTGTACTGCTCTCAAGATTATAATTTTTTCCCCTGTGTTGGGATGTTTGGAGTGATTAAAATGAAAATACCTATAAAGTTGTCAGTTTGGGCTCACACATGCTTTATGACTAAGGGGAACTGAAAGAAATTCATTAAAATAAATACACTTTATTGGCCTTTTCTGAGTTGGGTTAAAAATGGAGAGAAAAAAGGGAAGGAATTTTTGTATAGGAAAACCCTTTATCACAGAATTTGATAAAGTATAATTTTCAAAAAGTTAAAAATGTAACTTTCATATAAATATAAAAGATCAGATATCAAAGATTTATTTAGTTCATTAATGAGGGAACCAATAAGATATTGATATTAAGACCAGTTCAAATGACAATTTAGGAGCTAAGTATGTATAGGGAATTTAATAAGGAAATGTTAAAATATGATTTCTGCATTATATACAAAACTAATTAGTTACTAATATTAACTAATTAGTTTTATATATAATTCAGAAATTGTAATAATTTTGGAGTTATCTTTTCCACAAGACATGAAATATTTTTATCACTACTGGATACAAATCTACACATTAACTTGTACCCACAGAATTAAAAAATATTCTATTCAATAGAAAACTAATTACAGGTATAAACCCAAAACTGCACTATAATTTCTTTCTGCTGTTTCTAAGTTTCAGATGATTTTTCTGACAATTTGTAATCATCAACTTAGACACCATTGCCAGAAATTGAAATCTGTTTCCCAAACTTTGAAAATATAATTTTATGATAAGGATAAATGAAGTGAATTCTAAAATGTAGCATATATGTCTTAGTGGTAGATCATTTTGTATTTCAGCGATCAAGTTCCAAATTTCTTAAGCACATGTTTGAATGACAGAGCATCACCATAAGAAAAACAAATTTTTTTTGAGACAAAGTCTCACTCTGTCACCCTCAATAGAGTGCTGTGGTGTCATTGTAGCTCACAACTTCAAACTCTTGGGTTCAAGTTATCCTCCTGCCTCAGCCTCTCGAGTAGCTGGGACTGAGGGCACCTTCCACTACACCTGGATAGTTTTTTCCATTTTTAGTAGGGATAGGATCTTACTCTTGCTCAGGCTGGTCTCAAACTCCTGAGTTCAAGCAATTCACCCTTCTCAGCCTCCCAAAATGCTAGGATTACAGGCGTGAGCCACCACTCTGGGCCCACCATATGAGATTCTTATTCTGAATCTTTTTATTTCCTTTACAGAAATTCCATGGAATTATAGTTAGTACTACTCTGCAATGTCTCTATTTGAAGAAGAAGATAAGGACAAACAAAATAAAGGTAGGTAAACTCAAGAAAAGTTATCTAAGTCTATATGTCCTTACTGCCTCTGAAGTTGGGTGTGAGTGTATGTGCACACATACATGCACATGTTCATGTGACAGATAGACTGGCATCCTACCAAATTGCCTACCAAACAACTAACTGGGAAAGTAAATATATTCTACAGAAGCAAAAGTATTTACTTACAAGTAGTACAAGCTCTAGTTTTGTCATCTGAGAATTCTTATTTGAGTGGTCACAATCACTTTTATCCATTTTCAGTTTTCAGAAGTTCATCAGTTAAACTTGAGTTATTTCCCTCTCCCATCATTCACAACTGCCTCATGCTAAAAAGAGGTGGTCGGATTCAAAAAGCCCAAGGTCAAGGAGAGTAAGGGGAAAGAGAAGGACCCATCAAAGAATTCTTCAAAAGACCAGCCCCTGACTTAGAAGGAAACCCAGGAAAGGAGGGTGTCCTGGAAACCAGAGAAGAAAGTTTTTTAAGGTGGAGAGAGCTCCAGATACTTCAAAAGCCGCTGATAATCCAAGACTTCTTTTCTGAAGTAAAACCACCTGCTGCTAATATTTTTAGCTCTAAAAATCAAACAGAACCTCTGAGAAAAGACCCCAAGCCAAACAATCCTGGACCTAAATCAACAAAGGCTGGAAGATCTTGTTATACAAAAACAACCAGCTATGCCTTGGGATCAAAATCCAGAGCAATTAAATAGGAATTGTAGTGAACATGAAAGAACGAGAAAGCAGAAATGGAGAGAAGAGGAGAAAGGAGGACAAGGAAAAGGAAGAGAAAAAGAAGAGGAAATAGAAAAGGAATTGGAAGAGGAGCAGAAAAAAGAAAAGAAAAAGGAAAAGGAAAAGGAAGAACAATATCCCAGGAAAAGACTAGTCAGCAAACCCCTCATGGGCACTCTCTGGGGAAAGTTTAAATTAAACCAGTACCTCACAATACAAGATAGTTTTTCCCTCTCATTTGAATTTAGCATGACAAATAAACAGATAAATCAATGGTTTTGTAAAAAAAAAAAAAAAAAAAAGGAAGAAATACAATAAAGCAATACCCAAGCAGAAGTATAACAAAAGCCTAAGAGGAAAGCAGGACAGAACACTGAGAGCTCAGTGTCAACACCAGGGGAGGACTCCCACTGCAGAGTTTAGCAAAGATCATCACTATGCCAATCACCAGGAAGAGTTCAAACCCTTCTGTTGCACATTGGTATCACAGCTACGCAAAACAACATAATCAAGCAAAAGATGGAGCAACACTTTACTTACAAAGAGATGAGACCATGAGATCAGCTCCAGTCCATGGCCAGCATTTCTTTCCCAGCAGCCACTGTGGGGCAGTTAACTATGTGCTCCCCTCTCCTGCTGCCATAAAAGGACCCTGTCCTGTCCTCGTGGAGAACAGAGATAGCCAGGTGCCATACGACGCACACTTAACAAAGGATCGTGCACAAGCTTACTAGAGGGAAAGCTATTTCATGCAAGGCAATAAGCCAACACAGATCGTGTGCTGCTTTCATCTCTTCCAGGCTCAAGAACTATTCTTTTTGGCCAAGTGGGGGTTGAGAGACTGCATTTCCAGCAATGATTGCTCCAAGTCATATGTAAGAGAACTGAGTTCATGATCTCATTAACAGATGATATTAATAGTTTCTAAATGTCTAAGCCTGAATTTGTATTTTCATCTCTCAGTTTTTTTGTTTGTTTGTTTGTTTTGTTTTTTTGTTGAGACAGAGCCTCAAGTTGTCCCCCTGGGTAGAGTGCCATGGCATCACAGCTCACAGCAACCTCAAACTCCTGGGCTCAAGCGAGTGTCCTGCCTCAGCCTCCCAAGTAGCTGGGACCACAGGCGCCCACCACAATGCCTGGCTATTTTTTGGTTGCAGCCGTTATGGTTGTTTGGTGGGCCTGGGCTGGATTTGAACCCACCACCTTAGGTGTATGTGGCTGGCGCCTTAGCCACTTGAGCCACAGGCACCGAGCCCATCTCTCAATTTTAAATGCTACATGTCTTCAGTTATAACGTGAGAAATATTCTAGACTCTATAAATTTCTTTTTCATATATAGTGTGTTTATATTCTCTTTCACACATAATGGCATATATAGTGTTTAACATTCCCTATAAAATTCTGTGATTGCTCCTTAATATGTTGAAATAAAAAATTCTGTGATCCCCCCCAAAATAATAATAAATAAATAAAAAGAGGTAATCAATGAGGAAAAAAAATTACTAGGAAAAAAAAAGAAATTGTTGAGGCAGATGAGATCTTCATTTGCAGCCTTTTTGTGGAAAGAACAAATGGATTTGGCTGTGTTGTTAGGAAGGATTTCTACACTACTTCCATGCTTTCCTTTGGCAAATCAGGGAGCTAGAATAATCACATCCAAGCCATCTTTCAGAATGTAACTGCTTACATAAAATAAAGTTTTTTCTACTAAGAAATTTTGAAAAAGCAAGCCAGAATATGTAGTATAGGTCCAACTTTCCTATTTTTGAGGAATGAAAAGATGCAGAGAATGAAGTTAGTTTACCAATGAAGGATATAGTGTACCTTCTTTATTTGCTGTCATTGGACAATTGTCTGCTTCCTTCCTGGAGGGAGCCTTTTCCAAGAACATAGGCCCTCCTTCCAAAAGGAAGAAGTGAGGAAGCTGCCATCCAAGGGAGAACCTTGGGAGAACTCTTCTACCCTCAGGAGAGCTAAAGGAGAGAGGGCTGAAGAAAACAGATGAATCAACCAGTTCCTTGTGTATCTTTTTATAAACAGAAAATATGAAGATCAGAATACTTTAAGTAGTAAGTTCTAGGCAAATAAAATTCAATAAAGACTAATTAATTCATTCATTCATTTGATAAATATTTATTGATTACCAAGGTAAGTGCCAGCCACTGTATGAGTTGCAGCAATATACTGGCAACAAAACTAGGCAGAATTCCTGCTCTTGGGGAGATTATGGTTTATTGAGGGACAGCCTTTAACTAATTAATAATACATTAAATAATAGCACAGATAAAATATCAATTAAATCTACATAAGGGCTATGGAGTAAAGATCACATAGTGAGCATAGTAGTCAAGAGCTTGGATTCTGGAATCATACTGTCTGGGTTTGAATCCTGACTCCACCATTTACTATGTTATCTTGGGCAAATCTCTTAATTTCTCTGCTTTTTCATCTGTAAAACAGGGACAGTAAATGCTACCACATAAGGTTTCTGTCATGATTAAATTAGGTAACATTTATAAGGCACTTAGGAAGTATCTGCCACATGATAAATGCTTGGTAAATGTGTAAAAAATAATCTATAAGAGCTTGATGCTTTCATTCAGGAAAATAATCAAGAACTTCAGTGTTTATAAATGTGGGTTATTTCAAAAGTCAAAAATTTTACCAAGGAATACAGAGTGAAAAATTGTTTTCCTGGCCTAAAGTTTCAGGTAGGCTAGGATTACCTACCACAGGTAGAATTACTGGTTCCCTTTTTGAGCAGTGAGCAATTAATACTGGTCCACCCAAGATTTTGGCCTGTTGGCCTGAGTTGAAAAAATAATAGTGGTAAACCTAATAATGTTGTAGGTAGCACCAGTTTCAATATTCAGAATCTTTGAGCCTATTCTTGGCAAATTTAGAGTACAAAGAATAATTATTATACAATCTTTTTGGAAGGAAGTATGTAGAACTCTCAAAGAACTCAAACTAGACTTCCCATTTGATCTGCAATCCCACTGCTGGGCATCTACCCAGAAGGAAAAATATCCTCTTACCATAAGGACACTTGTACTAGACTATTTATTACAGCTCAATTTACAGTTGCCAAAATGTGGAAACAGCCTAAATGCCCACCAACCCAAGAATGGATTAACCAGCTGTGGTATATGTATACCATAGAATACTATTTAACCATTAAAAAGGTAGAGACTTTACATCCTTTGTATTAACCCGATGGAAATGGAACACATTATACTTAGTAAAGTATCACAACAATGGAGAAGCATGTTTAATAACCAGTATCCATAGAGAACTCAAACATATTAGCAAGAAGAGAACGAGTGATCCTATCTCAGGGTGGGCAAGGGACTTGAAAAGAAATCTCTCTAAAGAAGATAGGCACATGGCCTGTTATATCTATCTCTCT